GGGGACAATGCTCCAACCAACTGAGCCACCCAGCCAGGGCTGCAAATCATTTTAGAAAAGATAGTCTCTTAGGGCTGATTGTGGTCCGGGCTGATTGTGGTCCTGGTGGACAGGGGTAGGAAGATCCTTAAAGTGACTCAAAATCACACAGCCACAAATATGCTGCTTTTTGAATTTGACAGTTCTTGGCAGATAACGTTTGCCTCTTGTTCATTTCCCTATTATTGCAGCTGCATCCATGTTTGCCCTTGGGGAAAAAACAGGCTTCTTACAACTTCACGCACCCCAGGTGTATTTTGAGGGACCCAGGGACAGGGTTCCTTTGTTGGACCGCTCTCCATCTCGCTCACTCATGCAGGTGCCAGCCTTTGTGCACAGCCCTGCTTTGTCCCTGCCCAGCTGTGTGACTTCAGGCAAGTGACTGCCTCGCTTTAAACCTTTCGTTTTCTCAGCTGTAAAATGGGATGGAGTTGCTGCTTAGGGGACACGATGGTGGGGAAGGTCCTTAGCACTTTCCCCTTCTCTCAAGCAGACAAGAGGCATTTGACCCCAGGGTGGGTCATTTCAGGAGGCTGTGCCCGCTCCAGAGGGATTTGAAGAAGGGCAAGCTTTTCTACCATATCAGGTGAACTCCAGCAGGATTCAGGAACTCAGACCTGGAGGGATAGTCTCCACAGGGTGTTAACCAGCGGGGCTAAAAACATAGAGTGTGGATGGTTTAACAATTACAGCTAACATTCATAGCTCATTTACCATGTGCTGACCAGTATTCCAAGTGCTTCTAGATTTAAAATTAATCTAATCCTCTCAACAGTCTCTGAGGCAGGCACGCTTGTTATCCTCATTAGCAGATGAGGAAACTGAGGCACAGGGAGAGGTGAAGGGCCTTCCCCAAGCACACAGCAAGTAAGTAGCAGAGACAGGATTTGAACCCAGACCTCTGAATCCAAAATCTGGGCCTGAACCATCAGTGTACTGTCCTGCTGACATAAGCATGTATTTTCATATTTATAGAAAAATCTGGAAGTTTAGCAGCAAAAAGTATAAGCAGTGCTTTTCTTGGGATCTTCCAAGTGGGATGTCATGGGAACTTTGAGATTTTCTTCCATTTTCCAAATGTTCTATTACCTGTGTATGTGGAGAAAAGAGGTGTGGATGTAACAGGGCCCTCGGCAGTGCCTTATCCCCCCAAGATCCCTATCTTGTTTGAACCCTGTTTTAATGGTATAGTTAGATGCTGCTAGGTCAATACCTTAAGATACATCACTTTTGCCCTAGCCGGTTTGGCTCAGTGGATAAAGCGTCAGCCTGCAGACTGAAGGGTCCCAGGTTCGATTCCGTTCAAGGGCATATGCCCAGGTTGCAGGCTCAATCCCCAGTAGGGGGCCTGCAGGAGGCAGCCAATCAATGATTCTCTCTCTTCATTGATGTTTCTGTCTCTCCCTCTCCCTTCCCTCTCTGAAATCAATAAAAATATATTTTTAAAAAAGATACAGCCTGGCTGGCATGGCTTTGTGGTTGAGCATCAACCTATGAATCAGGAGGTCACGGTTCTATTCCTGGTCAGGGCACATGCTTGGGTTGCCAGCTCCATCCCCAGTAGGGGGTGTGCAGGAGGCAGCCAATCAATGATTCTCTTATCGTTGATGTTTCTATTCCTCTCTCACTCTCCTTTCCTCTCTGAAATCAATAAAAAATATAAAAACACAAAAAACAAAAACATCTCTTTCATGGAGCTAAGATGTCCAAACTACAAGGCACCTTAGAGCTTAATTCCTATTTCTCCTGCATTGCCTATGAGGAAATGCAACCCACAGAGACTAAGAACATGGCTGAGAGTTCACACAGCCGCAGAGCTCCGGGGCAGCCTTGTGGTTCTGTTTTCTCATGAAATCATGCTGCCTCCGGAGTGGGAGGAGTCACAGTCGCTTCCCTCTGCTCTTTTCTCTCTGAGGCTGGAAGCAGCACCTGACCCTGCTGACATCACATCCTATTGTCCTGGAGTCTGGCCTGGGGTTTCCAGTGACTAAAGTTGCAACTCGGGGAACTTTCCATCCGAGCAGGGCCCTTTCCTGGAGGCTTTCTCCCTGCAGGAAGCTGTCACAACCTTCCCCATTCCTTCAGAGCAGAGGGGATTGTGCAATATGGCTCGGAGGTCTAACGTGGATTCCGTGGAATCCGTGGAATCCGTGGCTGTTAGATTCAGGTCCAAACCCCAAGCCCAGCGTTCGAGGCCCTTAGCTATGTTTTCCTGGCCTTCATCTCTTGTCTCCCTTTCCTCACTCAGTCCAGTTATGTTTGTATTTTTCAAACAGAGAAGTGCCATGGGCTTCTGGTTTACTCACCACAGGATCCCCAGAGCTTGCTGCGGACCCGGAGCACAGTAGTGCTCAATCATTTTTTTGTTGAATGAATGAATGACTTGAGGTTCACAGAGATTCTTGCTCTGTGATTTCTGAAACCCTAGAGCTAAAGCGTGATTATTTTATTTCTAGTTAACTAAAATGCCTTTCTCACTTCCGTAAACTCAGTGGAATACTTTGTGACCATTCAAAAAGCCATTTATGAAGAGCTTTAACAACTGGGAAAATGCTTATGGTGTAAAGTTAAACAAGAACAAGCTGCAAAATCTTACAGTCTTACAGAACCACACCTGTGTGTGTGTGTGTGTGTGTGTGTGTGTGTGTGTGTGTGTGTAGGGGGGAACGGGGGTTAGTTAGAAGAGAAAGTACCCTAATAGGATGCTATGTAACTTGTTTTCTTAGTTTCCCCCCATTATTTCCTACGTTTTCTTTAGTGAACAACTATCTATATTAATAGAAGCATAATATGCTAATTAGATCGGACAGCCGAATGACCTTCTGGATGTCATTCCAGACATCCTTCCAGACGAAGCCACAGCAGTGGGGGACCGAGGCAGAGGTGGTTAGGGGTGATCAGGCAGGCAAGCAGAGATGGTTAGGGGTGATCAGGCAGGCAGGCAGGTGAGCAGTTAGGAGCCAGCAGTCCCATATTGTGAGAGGGATGTCCGACTGTCGGTTTAGACCCACAGGGATCGGGCCTAAACCAGCAGTCGGACATCCCCCAAGGGGACCTGGATTGCGAGAGGGTGCAGGGCAGGCTGAGGAGACCCCCCCCCATGCACAAATTTTATGCACCGGGCCTCTAGTTAATTTTATAATAGAAAATGAAGGGATACATTCTTTTTAGTATTGTCAATGGTAGCCCCCTGCAAATTTTGTAGTGCTTCAGAGTTGGCAAAATGCTTTTGGATCCACAGGCTCTTTTGATCCTTCTAACTATTCTTTGAAGATGATGGGCCATGGTGGGCTGGCTCATTCATTCATTCATTCATTCATTCATATTTCCCCTGCCAGGGCTGGGACTTAGAGGTGAGGGTAATATTTAAGGATGCATAAGGAGACACCTAATCTTCAGATGCTGCAAGTGTTACCGGCGATATTGATGGCAAAACAGCACCAGTTATTACTGGCTAAGTTGGACCTCAGCTTCCTTCATATATATATATGAAGGAAGAGGGAGAGAGAGATAGAAATATCCATGATGAGAGCCTGCACACCCCCCATTGGGGATGGAGCCTGCAACCCAGGCATGGGCCCTGACTGGGAATCAAGCTGTGACCTTCTGGTTCATAGGTCGATGCTCAACCACTGATACCGGTTGGGCTGGACCTCGGTTCTTGAGTTCGGCAAAGAAAGAATTCAGAACCAGGAACTAAAATTAAAAGAAAAAGTTTATCTAGAAAGTTACAGAGGTAGTAGAAGTAAGCCAGCTGGGCTGCGTAGGCTCAGCAAACAAGTTACAGAAACAAAAGAAGGCCCCTGTTTGGAGCTTAGGAGAGAGAAAGGCAATGCTAACATGTAGGGGCAGAGGAAGGGAAAAAGATGGGGGAAGGAAAGGTACAGGGGTGCACTCTGGGGAGGTTTTAGGGGAGGCTCTCTAGAATATTTATCAGCTTTATGCTGATGCACCAAAATGAGCTTTATTTCCCTGACTTCTATCCTTGGATGTGGTTGGCACAAATGGCACTAATTGGATTTTCTGTTATCTATTTCCCTGAGTAGGGTGATTTAAGTTATTTACCCTCTGGTTGGGGAAAAGTGTAAACCAGGTACTTTAATGGCAGTTTCCTAGATGGCTGTAAACTGTCTCAGTTTCCCTATTCTACTTGGTCTGGCTTACTAGCCTGTCTCAAGTGCATCATCAGCCCTAAGAATGAGCCCCTCCTTAAGTTTTGCCCCCTGGTGCCCTCCCCTGCCTCATCCTAGTCCTGGCCCAGGCCCCACTCTGTGCCAGGCACTGTTCTCTGTTCTGGGGATCTAATGGTGAACAGAACACGTAGAACTCCTTCACAGGCTTCTATTCTAGAAGGGGAGATAGGCAAAGTTGTTGTCCCGCTATTACAGTGGAGGAAACAGGCTCCATGGGGGAAGTGCCTTGCTCAAAGCAAATAAGCAGCTAAAGCTCGAGGCCGCTGACCCTCACACCCAGTGGTCTTTCTCCAAAGTCTTGTGTGGTATCGACGTTGATATTTATTTATTTTTTTTAAAAAATATATATTTTATTGTTTTTTTTACAGAGATGAAGGGATAGGGTTAGAGAGTCAGAAACATCGATGAGAAAGAAACATCAATCAGCTGCCTCCTGCACACTCCCCACTGGGTATGTGCCCGCAACCAAGGTACATGCCCTTGACCAGAATCGAACCCGGGACCCTTGAGTCCGCAGGCCGACGCTCTATCCACTGAGCCAAACCGGTTAGGGTGAGACGTTGATATTTAGGTTCAAGTGTTGATGTGCTGGTCCCCATGGGTATGAAATGGAATCAGCATTATAACTTGGGCTGCCTGTGGACCCCCAGGTGATGGAGGAATTTCTGGTGTGGTAGGGGGCAGATGGGGAAAAAATTATGGACACTGACCCTCTCATGGAGGCACTGCTTTGCTAACTCTAAGCGGATCCTCTCACTCGCCTTCTAGCCTCCTATGTGATCACGGACCTGACCCAGCTGCGGAAGATCAAGTCCATGGAGCGGGTGCAGGGCGTGAGCATTACCCGGGAGCTGCTGTGGTGGTGGGGGATGCGTCAGGCCACCGTCCAACAGCTGCTGGATCTCCTGTGTCACCTGGAGCTGTACCGTGCCGCCCAGATCATCCTGAACTGTGAGTCACCGAGCAGGAGCTGCATGTACTCTCCGGCCTTTAAACCTTTGTGAATCTTTTAAAAAATTAAATGAGCTTTGTGCATTGGCAGTATCATAGCCAATGAGGTTTATCTGAGGCACGATTATTACTAATTGGAAACTTTTCCCAATTCTCCGATATGACAGTTTAAAATAGTCAGCATTAGCGATTAAAAGTTTTTGAATGGAAAAAAAAAGTTTGAATGAAAGAGTTTACCATCCAACTAAGAAATTAGTCACAGCTTATCTCTGGTCATGAGTGGAGATGGGGTCACACCCAGCCGCCTGGATCCAGAGCCTTTATTCTTAGCTTTTCTCATGGGAACATCAAAGAACGAAGTGTTTGGGTTTCCGGGAAACAGTGACATTTTGCCTGCCCCCTTCTCTTCTGCGTAGAACTTTACTCAGACCCCTGCTCTCCTGTTCCAACTGCCCCTGTCCTCTCAGGGCTGTGAGAGTCTACCTTGGCTCCCCAACCCGCTTTTTCTTCCCCTTGGCCTTGCTGATTAAAATTGCGTGAGGAAGAGAGAGTAAAGCCTGTTTGTTTCCACATCCACAAATCCCCTGGCTTTTCTTTTGTTTTGGGAGTTTGGTTGTGTTTTTACTGTTGCTTTGAGTCCTCAGGCAAGATAGTGCCACTTTCTGTACCTTTTTATTTTCCGGAGGGGAAAAAAAAAGTGCTATCAATTTCTGTTACTTTTTGGAGGTGAGTAAAGAGGGTATGTGAAAAGCATTTTAAGTTTCTGTATTCCAGTTGGTCAAAGCAGGTTTCCCTTCCCTGACTGTAGTGAAGCAGGATAGGAAGAAGCTAGGAAAAATTCTTGGCAAGTGGAATAGGGAAACTGAGACAGATAGTTACTAGTAAATAGCAATTTGCAGCCATCGAGAAAATCCGATCTTCCCTAAACCAAGCGCAGTTCAGAGTAAATGGTTTGGCCCTGGCCAGTGTAGCTCAGTTGGTTGAGCGTCCTCCCATGCACCAAAAGGCTCGATTCCCAGTAGGGGGCATGCAGGAGGCAGCCAATCAGATCTCTCTCACATTGATGTTTCTCTCCCTTTCTCTCTAAAAAATTAATTAAAAAATACTTTTTTAAAAAAGTAAATGGTTTCCACTTTTCCCCAACCAGAGGGTAAATAGCTTAAATCACCCTACTCAGGGAGATGGTAGAAATCCAATTAGTGCCATTTGCCAGCCACTGCCAAGGACAGATGAAGAGAATAAATCTCATTTTGGTACATCAGCATAAAGTTGATGAATATTCTATTGAAATCCTCCCCTAAATAACCAACCTTTATTTTATTTTTTAAATATATTTTTATTGATTTCAGAGAGAAAGAGAGAGAGATAGAAACATCAATTATGAGAGAGAATCATTGATCGTCTGCCTCTTGTATGATCCCCAGGATTGAGCCCACAACCCAGGCATGTGCCCTGACTGGGAATTGAACTGTGACCTCCTGGTTCATAGGTTGATGCTCAACCACTGGGCCACACCGGCTGGGTAACAACCAGCCTTTAAAACCCTCAAAACAAGGTCCCAGCTCACGCTCTCCCTCTCTCCCTCCCAGGAGCACACCTATGCTTCCTTCCTTTTTCCCCCACAGGCATGCACCTCCTAAACTCTAAGGGACCCCATGAGGCTTGCAACCAGGGCAGCAATGGTCAGTGGCAGTTCACCTGGGGCAAATGGAGAAGAACTTGACAGTGGGCAGCGATGAGAAGTGGGAGAGCATTACTTGTTTTATTTATACTCCCCTATCATTGGTCGGCAAACTGCGGCTCGCGAGCCACATGCGGCTCTTTGGCCCATTCAGTGTGGCTCTTCCACAAAATACCGACTTCTGCGCGTGGGCCACGAAGTTTCAGTGGCACTGAATGTGCACGCCCGCACGTGGTATTTTGTGGAAGAGCCACACTCAAGGGGCCAAAGAGCCACATGTGGCTCTCGAGCCGCAGTTTGCCGACCACGGTCCTAGGCCCTTTCTTGTTTCACTGTCCCCAGCTTCAACAAATGTCCTCTAAAGTTCACCTGGACTCCTGTTGTGAAATATTTCCTGCATGAAGTCAAGAACCCACACACTACCATCAAGGGCCAGGTCCCCTTTCCGGTAACAGTAGCATTAATTAAACCTTATTTTGCATGTACTTGTTGAAGATTGCTTATGACCTTGCTCAGCCTCTGGCATTTTGAGAACCTGACTTCTGCCTACCACTTAAAGGGCTTTGGATAGATTTGAATAAAACTGGTGTTTGGGTTCAACACATACCAAAAGTCCTGAAGTGGCTTCCTCTGGCTCCAGGTAATATTATTTGTATTTAACAGAGGCCTTCTGAAGGTTGGGCCTGAACTGAAAGGTGATGTGTGGTAAACCACACGTCGGGGTCCACACAGGCATCAAGTCTTTTGAAATGTATTGTGGGTGGTTGCTGGTCTGATTGTGCGAAGAGCTGGGTATGTAGGTCTCTCTCTGCTCCTTGATATTTCCTTGACCTTAATTGCTGAGACCATTGTTTCATTCAATTTGTCAAACATTAAGTGTCATAAGAATTAGAATAAATTAGTACAGGCTTATTACCCAGCTACCCAATCTGTCCTCCAGCAAATCTGCCTGTGTCAGCTCCTTTTCACTCTTGTAGCCACTCCTGGGTGGTCTCCTGCATTAGCATTCCAGGTTCGCCCCGAGTAGGAGTAGGTCTACCTCGGGCCAGCCTGTGGTGTGTGGGTTCTTGACTTCATGCAGGAAAGATTTGCATTTGTGAGTCCAGGTGATTTTGAGAGTACGTTTATTGAAGCTGGGGACAGTGAAACAAGGAAGGGCCTAGGACAGAAGAAACAACAGGAGACCAGGCTGGGCTGCGTTGGCTCTCTAGAAGCATTATGGGAAAGAAGTGAGCCAAAGCCAGTCTGCTGTCAGCTCACTGGAAAGTCCGAGAAAAGTGGGCCTTGGGGACAGGTTCAGGGCGTTAGCCTGGGATGAACCGCCGCTACCCATTGCTCCCCTGGTTGCAAGTCTCCTGGGGTCCCTTAGAGTTTAGGAGATGCACGCTTGTGAGGGAAGAAAAGAAGGGAAGGGAAGGGCATGGGCTGGCTCCCAGGAGGGAGGGAGTGCGCTGGGTCCTTTGTCTTGAGAGTTTTAAAGCCTGGGAATTAGGGGAGGGCTTAGGAAAGGATCTCAAAAGAATATTCATCAACTTTCCAGGTCTGTCGGTTCAGGGTTCTGGTCTCCACTGATTGGTTGACACCAGGGCAGGGGTTATTAGTTGTCACAGCTGATCTTGTTTCTTTTCTGGAGCTGAAATACAACTGAGGCCTAGATGTTATTTCTAAGGAGGAAAAGTCAGGGTGGGGGTCTAAAACCACATGTCCAGTGATATGAAGGGTCAGGGGGTCTAAACCACATGGCCAGCCGTGTGCCAGCGGAGGAAAGGCCACCCTGGGGGCAAGGTCCAGCACCAGTTTTACCCATTGCTAGGCACCGAGAGCTTTCCATTCTGGTGACCTTTTGTATCTGGCTGTAAATTTCTCGGCCAGTTTGTTTAGTTCTCTGTCACAGTTGCCCAATTCCACTTTCCAAGGAATTTCCCTAGCCTTTTTTTGTTTTGTTAAACCTTACCAGAGGATATTTTTTCCATTGCTTTTCAGAGTAGAAGGGAGGGACAGAGAAAGATGGATGTGAGAGACACACATTGACTGGTTGCCTCAACCCAGGCATGTGCCCTTGACTGGGAATCAAACCTGAGACTCGTAGGTGTGCAGGCTGCCACTCCAACCACTGAGCCACAATGGCCAAGGTTTCCTAGCTTCTTACTAACCTGCTTCAATGGGGCAGCTCAATGGTGTGGAGGACCAGGTTCTTGCTTCTTCATTGCTCTGTCGTCTTGGACATCTGGCAGCTGACTCATACTTGAGATGGCTGCCCCGTGTCCCCACAAGCACATTCCAGCCAGCAAGAAGGGTGTGTCCAGGAAGCTGCACACCTAGCTTCCCTTCACAAGTCACTGGTCAGGACCTAGTCACATGATTACACCTAGTTGCAAGGGAGGCTGGGAAATGTAATCTTTAGCTGGGAGGTTATGTGCACAACTAGAGCTTCTATTACCCTAGGAGAGGAAGTAATAAATATTGGAGGGACAGCAGTCTCCCTACAATCCTCCCCTTTGGGCCATCCAAGTGTCTTCCCTCACAGAAAACATGCAAGGGAGACAGGCCTGAAGTCCTAATCAGTTCTTTTAGCTCTGGGCCCAGGATCTGTGGGTGATTTGTAGTCTCTATCAGTGGTGGAATCTGAACAGGAAGCCAATTAAAACTCTCATCTGAAATACTTGTTAAAGTAGTTGACAAGTCCGGCAGACAGGAACTGTAAAAGGTCCCTTCTGCTGGGGGAGCAAGTCCTTTGCTTGGTCCATGTGGCAGCCCCTTGTTCTCAGGAAGCCAGTGATTCTCAAATGTGTGTCCCAGATTTCTAGTCATCATCAGCACCTGGGAACTTGTTAGAATGCAAATTCCTGAGCCTCACCTAATCTGCTGATTCAGAAATTCCAGGGTGGGGCTGGTTCTGAAGCTGATGAAGGTTTAAGAACCACTGCTCTCCCTAGCTGGTTTGGTTCAGTGGATAGAGCCTTGGCCCGAGGACTGAAGAGTTCGGGAGGCAATCAATCGATGTTATTGACCACATTGATGTTTTAATGTTTCTCTCTGTCTCTCACTCCTTTCCACTCTTTCTAAAAATCAATGGAAAAATATCCTTGGGTGAGGATTAAAAACAACAACAAAAAGAACCACTGCTCTAACTCCTGGTTCTTTACCTCCTAGCTTTGTCCTGGAGGGTTGGGGAAGGGTTAGGCATTGGGTGGGGAGGTGTGTGTGGCAGGGGAGGCTCTCCTGTTCATTATTCTCTGTGGCCTCATCTGAAGTGGGAAGTTAAGAGTCCTAATCCTAAAAGGAACTTTTCCTGACTGCCAGGCTTAGGAGGGGCCTG